CGATTATTATAGAAATCTTACGAACATTATTGAGTTAGATTATTATGGAAAATGAAAGGTTGTGTTGTTTCGGTGTGACTGGGTTGATGTAAACATAAGCATAAAAAGAGATAAATTCGGGTTTACAATGGTGGAATTCTCTCGATTAATTCACACTGGTCAACGATTGATGGATGAACCATATGTATTTTCATCTCAAGTGAAAAATAATTTTACTGTCACGATCCAATGGATGACGGTTGGTATGTTGTGCTCCTTAATACTCTAGAGACTTGATAGACATTAGGGATGGAAATAGAGATGACACTGAAACAAGATCATAATGTTTACCTCTACTACCACAAAACTTAGATGAAACTATCACTAATACAACACAATTTCAATGGGTTCAGGAGGACGTTGATTAAGATATTTATGACAACTGACATTACATACGAATGTTGTACGCTTTTATATCTTCATTTATTTATTTATAATGTTATAACTTTTAACATGTTTTTGTTCAATATATTTATTAATTAATTCGTTTTCTTATTACAAATGTTTGTTTATTACAGATATCATGCCGAGGAGAAAAATAAGTGATTTGCGGATTGTTCGAGGTTCTGAAGACCATGAATAAAGAAATAACGAGGAATTGAATGCAGTTGAGTCTTCTGAAGTTCCTGAAACTGTTGAAGAAGATGTAGAAATTCAAGGTAATCTTTGAAACTTTATTTATTAGTTTGTTCATTTTCAAAACTTACATTTAATAATTTCTTATATAGTTGAAAATGCTGGAACGCGCAAGACTAGAGGACGTACAATGTTGAAGGAATTATACCAACATCCTCCTGGGCACCATGTCAAAGTTTCAAGAAACGATGTCGATCAACCTATTGGCCCAGAAGCACGTCTTCTATCTGGTTACTTAGGCATAGTTGGACGTAATGTGAATCTGTTACCGATCAATTATAAGTCATGGCGTGAAATGCCTAATAGTAACAAAAATCAGGCGTTAGATTTTGTTAATGTAATAATGTCATTGTAATAGATACTCTTTAACAATTTAATACTAATTTATACTTATGTTACACACTTATTTGTTGTATAGGAGAAATTTTCTTTAGAGGTCTCTGACGATTATGTGAAGCAAGCGTTAGGGAAGAGATGGAGAGACCACAAAAGCTCATTAAAGAAGAGATACTTCAAGAATGATCTCAGCCTTGAAGAGAAGCTACAAACAGTCCCACCTGGAATGCTCAGGTACCAATGGGAAGATGCAGTCAGATTTTAGAGTTCACAAAAAGGACAAGTATGATGTATTTTTCAAAAATAATTTGAACGAATTATAAATCATCATTAAAAGTGGTTGTTTGACATTGTAGGACTGAGAGCATATTGGTGTTGCTAGTAGGCAACAACAAAAGTTTACGCACACGGCTGGATCGAAGAGCTTTACTTGTATAGCTAATGAGGAGGTATTATAGATTATTCACATACTTATTTGTATTCCATGAACATACTAACTCAAAGTAATTATATTATGATACATTGTAGGAAAATACATCTGGTTCTAAAGTTGGCTGAATCCAACTCTTCGACATGACATATACAAAGAAGGATGACACTCATATGATTGCTGAAGCTGCAAAAATTATGGTACGTTTATTGGATAAGGTTTTAAATTTAAATGACTTTATTTATATTTGTACCATGACATTTTTTATTTGAATTAATTATTCACTTTATTATTAGCAAAAATTGAGGGAGAAAAGGGCGAAGTATCATGTTACTGCTTCAAGTCAAGGTCTTGTGATGACATTAAAAACCAAGCTATTAATGACGATTTAGGTCCTGAAAGATATGGTCGGGTGTGATGTCAAGGATCATTCGTTACTCCCACCAAATATTTTGGATGTATTTCATCACAGTACATGTCATCACAGTCTCAATCTTCCTAATTAGAAGTTAATCGTTTAAAACAAAAGTTGGCTGAGATGGATCAACAAATGGCTAACATGAAAGTCAGAAATGAACCAAGGGAAGCAGAGAGAGCAGCAGCGGAAGTAGAGAGAAGCATTGGCAGCACAGAGAGAAACAGCATATCAGCAGAGATGTGAAGAATTTGAAAAACGACTTAATGATATGATGCAGATGTTACAGAAAACACAACCTCAAAATTCACCATCATAGTGTCATTTATGTTGAGTACTTTATGTTAATATTACTGAACCATGTTTAACTGAACTGATATTACGTTAATGAAAACTTTTATTTATTATATTGGATTTGATGTTGCTTGTTATGGATATAGAGTTTGATGTTATTGATGTCATGCTTGTTGGATAATGGAACATGTTGAAAAAAATAGATTTGGGGTAATCGAATAAAATATTTAAATTGTTTAAAATTTGTGTTCTTTAGCGACGTTTGTAACAAAAAGGTCGTTGTATACCATACACCTTTAGCGGCGCTTGTATTAAAAAATGCCGCAAAATATCTTAACCTTTTGAGGCGTTTAAGAAAACACCACTATATACATAAGCATTTTATGGCGTTTGTGGGAAAACGCCGTTAAATATCAACACCTATTGCGGCATTTGTGAGAAAAATGTCGTTAAATATCACAACCTATTGCGGCATTTGTGAGAAAAACGCCGCTAAATCTCACAACCTATTGCGTCGTTTTTGAGAAAAATGCCGCTAAATATAAACACCTATTGCAGCGTTTGTGGAAAAAATGCCGCTAAACCTCCACACCTATTGCGGCGTTTGTAAATATAAACACCTATTGCGGCATTTTTTCTTACCAAACGTCGCGAACTTTAGCGATGTTATTTTCAGCGGCGCTTTTTGTGACGTTTGTCATATCACCACATGTTTTTTTGCGACGTTATAAACGCCTCTATAGGTCATAAAAAACACCGCAAAAAGCCAGTTTTGCTATAGTGAATGCATCAATATGTTTCCCGATAAAAAATACTTTGTAGCAAGAACCCGAGCAACCAGACTATCTGAGTTCGTGATACATCTCCAAATATTCTTCCCAAGCATGGCTATATCAAACACTCTAAAATCATGGAAGCCAAGACCACCCACACGTTTAGGATGATGACACATGGTTTCCCACGAGACTAAAGGCCATGACACTCTTCCTCAGAGGGAGGGTCGAGAGAGAGAGAGAGCCATATCATGAGTTAAACGTTGATGAATTTGATGAATACTAGTACAAGACAATTTTCAACAATCTTTAAAACAAATGGTTAAAAGTTCTTAATTGGCACCTCTCTTCTCTCCTATAGGGTTCAATACCTATTGGTAGCAAAATTTCCTTTCTCCTCCCTAAGTAGAAATTGTTTAAAAGATGCTATAAGATAATTCATACAACCATATCATAAGTCATTAATAGTTATAAAAAGTTTTGAAGACTTTGAGATGTTTCTCTAAATAGAGTTCCAATATCTATGAAGAATTCTTTTTCTTTTGACATAATATCTATGAAGAATCCCAATCTTCTCAATGGAAAGAAAATGCATTATATAGGTGTTTGAAATTATTTTAGAATGTATTTAGATTATATTAATGATTCAGATAACGTGAAATAATTAATTAATATAATAAGAAATCAAAATATTTTAAATTATTATAATTTAAAAACATATTTAAAATATTAAAAAATAGTTTAGTTCTTCAAAAAATTTAATAAAAAATGAACGAAAAAGTACTAAAATTTATTTAAACTAATTTCGGTATGCGAAGAAAACGAATTTCAGCCAAACATTAGAATATCCGTAGGCTTTTACATATTTTGCTTTTTAATATATACATATGGGTAAATTATCTATCTGATCACCCACTTATTATTTAGTTTATCCTTTGGTCATCTAACTATTATTGTGGTACAAATGTGGTACTATTTTGATCATTGACCTTTAAAAAATTAAATGTGGTACTAACACAACATTTCTTATTATTGTTTTCAATATTGATGTGACATTATTTAATGAGTGGTATGTTTGCATCATCATTAATTTTTTAACGATAGATGATTAAAATAAAATCAAAAAATAATATTAAATACAATTTAAAGATAATATTAATTAATTAATCAAAACAGAAACTAATTTTATAGTAAATTACATCAAATATCATGAGATTTTATATTGTATATTAATTTTATCATTAAATTTTAAAACATTTTATTTTTTGTTTCGAATTCAATTAGAACATCATGTAATTAAACTATTAACAACATAATGACGTGATAATTGAGTGTTTACATGATCTTGACATGAAAGTTAAAAATATATTTTTTAATTTTATCTTATCACATTTTTTATTCATTTTAAATTGTGGATGAAAATGATCATTTTCAATATTTTTTACGACTATCATAGACATCAATGAACTCGTTTATTTATTCTCTATAATTTCATTCGTTTAGATTTCTTTTTAATATCTTTAAAACTCAAAAAGAAAAAGTAAACACAAAAAATTCATATATATATATATATATATGTAAACACAAGAAATATTCTTTTGAGAAGACGAAAAATATATCTCAAAGTAATTTAATCGGACAATCATTGAAGGAGAACGAATTATTAGAGCGTTGAACCTTTAGATAAATTTTCATTAATTTTGAGCGGGTGTTGTGAAACATCATTATGAGAATAAAGAGGAGTAAAATAAAAATATTTTAATATTTATCTTATCACGAATGATTACTAATGACGAACGATGATTAACTGATAACGATAATTAAAAGAGTCAATAATTTTTAATATAATCAAATTGATATGCAAGCTAAAATCTAATGTCTAAAATTAAAATATTTTAAAATTTAATAAAAATTACTACACAAACTACAGTACACATGAAAAAATAAAACATTTTAAAATCTAGTTATAATATAGTACACAAACTAAAGTTAAATAGTATTCGCTGTAGTTTACCTAAAATTAATATATATCCTTTTCTCGTTCATAATGCTTTTATATATATATTTGGATGAATTAAATACGTTTATTAGTAAAACATATTCTGTAATCTGAAAGACTGCGAGTGCGAGGGCTGAGGGAAGTAAAGCAAGCCGCCTCACTTTTCCCACCAACCACACTCCCTCCCTCTCTCTTTTCTCGACGGATTCATCAAAGCTCTTCTCCATTTCCATTCTAAATCCCTTTCTCATTTGTTTCCGCAGATTTCCTCTTTCGTCAAATCAAATCAGCAATGCAAACTGCGGCGTTTTCTCTGTCCTCTCCTTGTTCGATTCCTTCTCTGAAACCGCGTAAATTCGCTTCTACTGCTGGATTTGATCCTATTCGCGTTTCCTGTTCCTCCTCCGTTACCAAACGCCACGATCGTTTTGCTTCAACCCATGCCGTTTCCGCCAGTTCTTTGCCTAATCGATCCTGGCCTCTCTCTTCCTCCTCATCCTTGTCGCTCAGGCCTTGGAACCTTGTTCCTTCCGATTCAGGACCGGATCGCTTCGAAGTTAGTGCCACGGCGGCGGAGAGTGCCGGTGAAGGCGAGAAGTCAGGTAGCTTGGCGAAGACATTGGAGCTTGGATTGTTGTTTGGATTGTGGTACCTCTTTAACATCTACTTCAACATCTACAACAAACAGGTTTCACTCTCTTTCATTGTTCTTTCTAAAAATCTTCGGTTTCCTGTTTCTTGTTTTAAGATCTAATGTCTCGTTTCAATTTTCTTTGTTATTTTAACTGACTTCCGTTTAGAAACCAGGTTATTGGAGAAATATTTCAGCGATTTTCTTACAAATAAAACTGTAAAAGGACATTAATGTTCAGCGAAGTCTTCAGAATCAAAGGAAAAAAAGTTGCAAATGGTTGCAAGGCGCAAATAATATTTTGAAGAATTAACGAAAAAAGAAGAAGAGAGTAAACTGTTTTGGAGAAAATATATGTAACTGTAATATATCTTAATGATGTGGGAAACTAGTGGTGCATGCTGGTTATTTGTTCATTTTTAAGAATTACAGTGTGAATCTCAAACATCAATATTCGATAAACAAGACGGAATCTTAGAGTATAATTTAAGAGAATGAACTGTTATTGAATCTGTTTCTTTGTTAACAGGTTCTTAAGGTCTACCATTACCCTGTAACTGTCACTGTCATTCAGTTTGCTGTTGGGACTGTACTTGTTGCCCTGATGTGGACTTTAAACTTGTATAAGAGGCCGAAAATCACTGGTGCACAGGTATTAAGAAAAAAACATTTTGGCGCAAATAGTGAATCTATTGGGATTGTTGATTCCTTTCTGGTTTGATACTAATTTTTGAATTGTTCATTCACAGCTAGCAGTAATTCTGCCACTTGCAGTGGTGCATACCTTGGGCAACCTCTTTACGAATATGAGTCTAGGAAAAGTGGCCGTTTCTTTCACTCACACAATTAAAGCTATGGAGCCATTCTTCTCAGTTGTGCTGTCTGCAATGCTTTTAGGAGAGGTGATTTCTTGTTTAGTTATTATTATTATTATTTTTTGTTCACGTTTTCATAATTATAGTTTATCTATAAATTCTTTTTCGAGTTTCCTCTTTTATTTCTTTAATATCTCTTGAAGTTTTTCACAGTGATGTTTTCTTTGCAAGAGCGATTATTGTGCCTATTTGAAATTCTTTTTGTGTGAAAACTGATGCAATTTCTTTCATTTTTTTGGGACTAATAATTCAATTTCATGTTGACTCTAACTTGAGTATGATATTTTGCTGTTACAGCTGCCAACTCCTTGGGTAGTTGGTTCTCTTGTACCTATTGTAGGAGGAGTTGTACTTGCATCTGTTACAGAGGCCTCATTCAATTGGTAAGAATTGTACATGCTAGCATGTACTATCTTTATAAAACTTCAGAAAGTTTTCTTTTTCTTGCGTTCCATTTCTGATTTTGATGCAGATATCTTGATAGCAAATACTTGACCTGGTTACTTTATATCATTCTAATATAACCTTCTTCTTTTTTACCTATAAAGGGCTGGATTTTGGAGTGCAATGGCTTCCAATTTAACAAATCAATCCCGTAACGTTCTTAGCAAAAAAGTTATGGTTAAGAAAGAGGTAATTTTACTTTTTGATCTCTGTTATCGGACACTATGGTGATAACATTTATTGGAGTGTAAATTCTGTCTCCCTGATTGATTCGCTGCAGAGTGATCTCTCTGTATTGAAAATCTAATTTTGGAGTTGACTTTCGTATTGACACATAACAAGCAGTTATTATGTGACAGGATTCTATGGACAACATTACCCTCTTCTCAATAATAACAATTATGTCCTTTTTCTTGCTAGCCCCTGTGGCTATCTTCATGGAAGGCATAAAATTTACCCCTGCCTACTTGCAATCTGCGGTGAGTGTTCTTGATGAGCTGAGTTGCTACAGGTGCCCTGATTTCACTTTTGAAAATTCTCTCCATTTCCTTGTAATGTGCTGCACTTTTATCTTGTCTAACAGGGTTTGAATGTTAAAGAAGTTGCTGTAAGATCTTTGCTTGCTGCTCTTTCCTTCCACGCCTATCAGCAGGTGAGAATTTTTGCTGTTGATGGTTTTTCATGATCCTTAAGAATCAAATGCATGGATTCAAAATCACTTCATAGTGATGCAAGTGTGAAGAATGAACTAAAAATGGGACAAGGCATGAGATTTATTAGGTCAAGTTTGGGAGGTTTCTTGTTGAACATAATGAAGTAAATTAAATTTGGAAAACAAAATTCATGGATTGAAATATCATGGGATATATATATATATATATATATATATATATATATATGAAATTTCAAAAACTTTGTATATGTTTTGATGACTTATTTAAATGGACATCTTTACTGAAAGTCCTAACAAAGATTCACAGTTTGATACATATATAAAATTTTATGCCTAAAAGTTACTTTGATTAACTTTTTGAATATTATTGATCTTGAAATTGAACTCTATTGATCTATGTGATTCAGTAATTTAATTTCGGCATAATCAAATTTATTGACGAACCATATTGAAGTATTTGGCTTAAGAGAGATTGAGAAAATGATGGATCTAAGGAAGTGCAGTGGTTATGTTGAATGTCTGAATTGTCTTTTCCTTTTATTCTCCTCCTTTATGAAAGTAATGTAAGTTATGTCAAACCGTTCTAAATGCAGCCTTAAATCTATTATTTAGTGCAGTAATGCTCAATGCAAAGGTGATTAGTGTTTGATCTAAAACTATGAAATGCAGGTTTCATATATGATACTGCAAAGGGTATCCCCTGTTACTCATTCTGTGGGCAACTGTGTGAAGCGGGTGGTGGTTATTGTCAGCTCTGTTATTTTCTTTAAGACACCTGTCTCACCGATCAATGCACTTGGTAAATTTTCATTCTGATAATAAATTATCGAAAATTGTTTCTGTTTAGAGTTTTGTTTTCCGTGCCTCGTTAATGGATCTTATTATGATGATTTTTTACAGGCACCGGAATTGCTCTTGCTGGAGTTTTCCTGTATTCTAGGGTGAAGCGCATCAAGGCAAAGGCAGCATAATGGTTTTGCCTATAAATACGAGTTTAATGCTCTAGATTGAAGGACTTGTTTGTAGTTTAGGCAGAACATAATTTTGGTTTTTGTTTACGTGTTTGGATTTGCTGATTGTTTTGACACATGAACTTTATTCGAAGAGTCATTGCCATTCAGATAAGCTGGTTCTTATAGTTGCTTTCAAGATGTCCTTTTACTTTTAAAGAAGGGTAAATTACAAATTTAATAACTGAATTTTACCATCATATTTTACTCATTGTATTTTAAAACTTTTAAACTTAATAATTGAACTTTATACATTGAATTTTTATGGTCACTCCACCATTGACTTTATAACCGCGTTATGACTTGGCTTTTCATGTTTAAATTCTGTTGTTGGATATCCTTTACAGCTCAGCCAAGGGCCGACTCATCTGGTCTTTGCGGTCCATAACGAAAAAACCATAAGTGAAGCAAAGCTATGGTTTTTCAATTAGAAACTAAAAGCGAATAATCAAAGTTGAGAGTTTTGATAAATGATGCAAAAGAAAAAAAAAATGGTTTTTCAATGTGAAAGCTTTCTCACCTTGAAATACTTCGATTATTAACGGTATAAAAATAAATGTGATTTTTTAAAGGTAAAATAAATGTGAACTTTTTTTCATGAAACTAATTTAATTAATTTTTCATGAGGAAATATTTGATATATTAACAGTATAATGAATTTCATGTCTTACCAGTTAATCACAATATATCATATTACTAAAGTAAAAAAAACATATTAAATAAATAATCACAAATTCGTGTTTTATTATTAAAGTAGAGATGATGGTTGAATTGCCTCGCATGAACTGAAGTTTATATGCATTTATTTGTTTTATAAACAATTTGACCATAGCTGTAGAGTGTCATGAATATAGGTGGTCTTAGTATTGTTGTGTTGTGGTTTTAATGAGTGCAGATAGTATTTGATGACAGGTTAGTTGTTATTGTACTGCACCATTGGTAAAGCTGTTAGTAGTTGATTAGAAGGGTTAAAATTTGTTTTAGTTTACGGTTGTTGATAGCAACTGTTTCTTGTATATAGTGTGGTCTGTTTTAAAGATATTAATTAATAGAGAGCATGGCCTCTCTTCCTTTATTTGTACGTCTTCTTCTGGCATATCATGACATACATATTTCTTCTCCATCCAAGAAATAGTATTAGAATTGACGATGGGGTGAGATCATTTCCACCAAGTCCAGCTCCTGGTCAGCAGTGGGTATTTGATGAAGCAGAGAGTCAATAGTGCAGCTGTCTTGAAGCAGTTTCTCATCAAAGGAGAATTCATATTGTGGGAACAAACGGTCAGTGTTTTGGGTTGAGCGCACCTCTCAGTGCTAGATATTTTTGGGGTGGACTCCAAGTTTAAGCTCTTGATTTATTCCTGCAAGATGGAGCCTCTGGAACGACATTTCCTCTTTGGAAATTGCCTTCTTTTGGTTGCATTCCAGTGGTTTTTGATGGAGTTTTCTGTTCTTCCTGGGAACCTCTTGGCAATTTCCGCCCATTTGTTTCCTATTTCCATATGGGACTGTATTAGCACCTTGTCCTCCTCCTCCACACCCTGCACCAATCAACAATATGTACATCAATACATGCATGCATGCACTCACAAGGTCATAATTAATAGAGAAAATCGCCTCAGTGACCAAAAATGCCTTATAATATACGATTTTAACCAATTTTTTTTGGATTTGCCAAAATGACCAACAAAATCGCAATGCGATCTGTAATTCGCAACGCGATTTTCAGTATCGCAAATTCGCGTTGCATTTCGCGTTGCGTTTCGCGTTGCGATAGTTGAAAATCGCGTTGCGATAGTCTACAGTGTCATTGCGATTTTCCATTTCGCGTTGCGATAGTCTACAGTGTCGTTGCGATTTTCCATATCGCGTTGCGATAGTCTACAGTGTCGTTGCGATTTTCCATCTCGCGTTGCGAGAGTGTACAGTACACTCTCGCAACGCGAGATGGAAAATCGCAACGATACTGTACACTATCGCAACGCGAAATGGAAAATCACAACGACACTGTAGACTATCGCAACGCAAAAAGGAAAATCGCAACGCGATTTTCAACTATCGCAACGCGAAATACAACGCGAATTTGCGATACTGGAGATCGCGTTGCGAATTAGAGATCGCATTGTGATTTTGTTGGTCATTTTGGCAAATCCAAAAAAAGTTGGTTAAAATCGTATATTATAAGGTATTTTTGGTCATTGAGGCGATTTTCTCTAATTAATATTGTTAAACCTTGATGTGTGGCCTTAGATGATTGTGCCATCTCTCTCTGCATTGCTTTCCTATTCGTCCAGGCAACATCTGAGCAATATGAGACCATTTCCTCACTCCATACTGTTCAACCAACTGAATCAACACCCTGTTCATGCATGCCATAAGATTTCATGGATCAACAACAAAAAAAATGGAGAGAAACAAAAATCCATTTATATAACCTGTCTTCTTCCATTGTCCATTGTCCCTTCACTAAATTTGACTTCCTACGACCTTTCCAATTAGCCAATACCCTCTTCTTGTTGTTGTAGTAACCACTTTCATCCACCACCAAAAAATCAAAGGGCATAATAACGTCACTGCTCGAGTTCCTCTGTTGAAAGAGGTTCACACACCCCAAGTTGTCCATAAGCTGTCCATGTCCCGCAGCAGCCAACGGCTTACACTCGGACAAATCGGCATTGTTCACGGAGCAACTGTAAGGGAATGCATCGTATAGGAAAACATGGTTTGAAGACGATGTGCCGTTGACGTAACCATGATCTAAATGGTCAAAGTCTTGCAGATAATAATCCTTGGAGGATGAAGATGGGCCTTCAAAGGGTTTTAGACAGTTGTCAGACAACAACATCGGCTGCTGGCCTTGAGGGGACATGTTTTCCGGATCAAACTCCATCCAGGACTTTCTTTACGTATTGGCCGTGTCTTGTTAGCTTTGGGTTCCTTCATAAGTGATAGGGAAGCGGTGACGGATTGATGAACGTTGTTCTTGTTGAAGAATCAAATCTAGAAAAGATCTAGACTCGATGAAGAACAATAAGGGATGAATGGGGAAGGTGGCGGCAATAGCTAGAGTTTTTTAGAGTTTCTTTTTTGTGCTGGAAACAAGATAAGAAATAAGATTAAAACAAGATAAATAAAAAATTAAGGAATTGAAAATAAAGAAAAATAACCAAGAAATCAAAAGATCTCTCTTATGAAAGTGAACGGTAAAGATGATTGATGGCGTGGATGGATATGTGGAAAATCGATAGATAATGTCCTATCGAGCCCTCCTAGTCGCAATGAAAAGGCAAACACGATAATATGGCTCTAACCAACCCTCCTAGTCACAATGAAAAGGCAAATTGGAGTGTGAAGATTAATCTCCCTTACAAGAACTTGAAAGAACTCCAGGAGAAGAAACTTCGAAGGCACAAGGCAATCAACACTTGCAAAAACGAACTCTCGTTGTATTATTAATCAAAGAAATTTTGAATTGCAAAGTTGAATGAAGCCTCCTTTATATAGGGGCTGAGTTCTAAAGGTCCTAAATAATTAATGAATAAAATAATAATAAACTAAACATGTCTTAACTCTAATTTCTAATAAAATAATAATAATTAAAAATAATATTTTATCCCAACCTTAATTCCTAATAAAATAATAAATCTAATCCTAAAAGATAATGCATCATCCTATATTAAGTTATATTACAAATAATCAATAAAAATATTGAAAATTCGTAATATTTACAAAATCTCGTATTAATCCCATATAGGATTTTCTGCATGCACCGTCTTCAGTAAAATAGCCATATCATGAGTTCTCGATATCGGATTGATGCGATTAAAGAACCGTTGGAAAGATAAGAGACAGACAGTCGTATCTTCAGAAGACATCTTGAATAAATAAGATCATGATCCCATTCAAAAAGTCATCGTAAGTCTGCTTCTGTTCTGATCTTCTTTTTCAATGCTTGGACGAGTGAATCATTTGGAAGAGTCATTACTTCTTCCTTTGATGTGAGCCTTGTGATGCATGTATCATCCTCCCTTTCTTCAAAAAGATTCGACCTCGAATCTGAAACATTAAAGAGAGCAACATTAGAATCGTTTAATGATTCATTCACATTATACTTATCGAATAGATATGCTTTGAATCTTCAAGACTTTGTTCTTCTAATAGGTTCGAGTAGAAACATTAGTCCAAAGAAGCATGTATTATGGACTCTGGTGCATGTATCATTTTCAAGAAATTCGACAAGATCCTAGATCGAATTTGCCGATGAAACTTGAAGAATGTATTTGAAGGCTCTAATGAACTCCGATTTGGGTGAATTTTGGACTGGAGATTTATATTAGGATGAATATGATATCTGGAGAAAATCAGCCCTAAATACCTTCGTTTGTAATTTTTTTTGAAATTTTGGATTTTTTTTGTAAAAAATAGCAAACTAACTAGAAGGATTTGAATCTAAATTAAAATTAAATAAAAAGAACCTGAAACGATGAATCTTCTCTAGACTAGCTCCGTTGGGATACCTTGACAGTTTTGTGTGCAAGAACAAGCAAGATTGTTTGCTTCTTTCCAAGAATCGGCCCAAATCTGATACCCATTGATAGGGAAGCGGTGGCGGATTGATGAACGTTGCTCTTGTTGAAAAATCAAACCTAGAAAAGATCTAGACTCGATGAAGAACAATAAGGGATGAATGAGGAAGGTGGCGGCAATATTTAGGGTTCTTTAGGGTTTCTTTTTTGTGCTGGAAACAATATAAGAAATAAGATTAAAACAAGATAAATAAAAAATAAAGGAATTGAAAATAAAGAAAAATAACCAAGAAATCAAAAGATCTCCCTTATGAAAGTGAACGGTAAAGATGATTGATGGCGTAGATGGATATGTGGAAAATCGATAGATAATGTCCTATCGAGCCCTCCTAGTCGCAATGAAAAGGCAAACACGATAATATGGCTCTAACCAACCCTCCTAGTCACAATGAAAAGGCAAATTGGAGTGTGAAGATTAATCTCCCTCACAAGAACTTGAAAGAACTCCAGGAGAAGAAACTTCGAAGGCACAAGGCAATCAACACTTGCAAAAACGAACTCTCGTTGTATTATTAATCAAAGAAATTTTGAATTGCAAAGTTGAATGAAGCCTCCTTTATATAGGGGCTGAGTTCTAAAGGTCCTAAATAATTAATGAATAAAATAATAATAAACTAAACATGTCTTAACTAATTTCTAATAAAATAATAATAATTAAAAATAATATTTTTATCCCACCTTAATTCCTAATAAAATAATAAATCTAATCCTAAAAGATAATCATCCTATATTAAGTTATATTACAAATAATCAATAAAAATATTGAAATTCGTAATATTTACAAAAATCCGTATAATCCCGTATAGGATTTTCTGCATGCACCGTCTTCGGTAAAATAGTCATATCTTGAGTTCCCGATATCGGATTGATGCGATTCAAGAACCGTTGGAAAGATAAGAGACAGACGGTCGTATATACAGAAGACATCTTGACTAAATAAGATCAGGATCCCATTCAAAAAGTCATCGTAAGTCTGCTTCTGTTCTGATCTTCTTTTCCAATGCTTGGACGTGGATCATTTGGAAGAGTTATTACTTCTTCCTTTGATGTGAGCCTTGTGAGCATGTAGGAAAATCATGTAAAACAGTAACGCGAAGTATTGGGAAACTTGAATTAAATACTAAAACAATTAATGACCTTTAAATATTTTCTTTTTTAACCATTAACTGCACGTTTTTATAACCTTCCCTTTTACATTCTTTCTTTGCAGTAAATATTATTTATTGAGATAATTATACAATATTTTATATTTGATAGATTAGTTATGTAGAATTCTATATAAATTACAAGTCAAATGCTAACCAATTAAAATGGAGACTGTTCATTTAAAAATAAGTTTTAATTTTATCATCTTTGCAGTAAAAATGGCGACTGTCAAGCCATGCTTCCTTGAAAGCAACTTCTCCGGTAACGACTGCATTGCCTTGTGCTGTCAGATGCAGCCATGCTTCCTTGATTCCTGCATTGCTCTTTTCTGTTTCTTGGAGAAATCCTTCTTACCTGCTTTTGATTCCTGCATTTTAACTTCTTTTGATATGAGTTAAGATGTGAATTAAAGGTTCATACTGTGTCAGCGGTAGCTCTGCATGTTGGTTCTGTTCTTTTCTTCCTGCTAAGCATACTAGCAATGGTTACCTAGAAAGAATATATTTGTGGCCACTTTTAGTGCGTTCAAAACTTCAAACATCTTCTTTTTCAGGTTCTCTTATTAAGTTGGTCTATTTTTCAAGACATGAAGACCAATCGGTTGAGTATACGAGGAAGAAAACTGTCAAGGAAAGATTGGGTATTTCAAATGGTAACAGGAGAAGTTATCCTGTTCTTGGTGGGTGGCTTCACTTTGTGAAGTTTGAAATAAGCAAACTGAATGAGTGCTTGGATTTTATTTCTTCCAAGCAGCTTCACTGTGGCAGTATATATTCTTATTTCTTTCCCTTTCATTTTTCATTGATCCATCTTCTGTCTTACTAGAAGTTTGAGATTGCACATGATGATAACATCAGTTTTTTGGCTTTCTCAACCTTCATCAATATTTATGTTCAGCTGTTCTATTTTCTTCTGAATAGGAATTGATTCCCATCATTGGAATTCTGAGGCCCCTGCCAACGAAAATGCAGTTATCAAGGTAATTGCACTTACGACTTCATAGTTTTTTACATTATAATTTTGTGGAAATTGGAACAGATTTATATTGTATGTCGAGGAAGATCCTGTATTAAAACTTTGAAGTAATTTTCTTTGGAAGAAACGCCAATATGAAAGTTATGCTAGTTCTTAGCTTTTTTATTTCTTTATCCCGATGAAGCAGTGTATGACTGCTCTTAAGCTGCTTCCTTTTGTTTTCCTCTTCGTACAAAACACCATCGCATAGATTCTAAGTTTAGGTCTTTATCTGGCCTGGCCTAAGTACTTGACCATTCATTTCCCCAATATTTAACAATCTTGTTTCATCAATTGCTTCAAATTTATACTTTTATGAATGCATACTTCTAACAAGTTGTGTTTTTGAGAAGGCCACAGGGGGTTGGGCATACAAGTTTGCAGGCCTCTTTAAAGAAAGGCTCGGGGTCAGTATCGAGAAAGAAGATGAAATGGATTGTCTTGTCGCAGGGGAAAATTTCTTACTTAAGGTCAAATCTTCATCATAATTTCATTTTGATCTTCTATTAACTAAACATGCAAAGAAATCCTTATGTCTGTAAATCTGGTATATGTAACTGAGCAAGCTATTCATCATGAAGCTTCAAACACACGGAGGGTCACAAAGAGTTTGTGCTGATTGACCACAATGATCTGTTCCCCAATCTCCTTGTTAATATTGGATCTGGTGTTAGCATAATAAATGTATTTTCTATCCTTTTTTTTTGCCCTCATTTTCCAATCTGCTTGAGAATGAGACATGAGCTTGACTAGAGTATAAAACAATCAACACTCCTCATTCTCCAAGGAGGGCCTGTTTACCCAGTTTACTCCCATAACCATTGATCTATCAGATCACAAAGAGCTAGAGTAAGTATGTACTTCCAGTATGATGCTTAATACTTATTATTCTAGAAGCCCTAAGAAGAGTGTTGAAAGTCAAATGCACTTTTGGTGCATTGTGAAAAAAAGGGGTAGGCACCGAATATACAATGTCAAAATTAGGCGCAACAATTGGCATCAGAGTCAGATTAGAGTGTGTAATATCTACTTATTGTCTTTTTGGTTGCCATCAAAAGGTGGATCCTCCAACATAAGAAAGTAAGAAGGTATTACCCATTCTTTGAAGGTTCCAGAGAACTATTCACGATAGTGAAATAGTGGGAGTTATCCGTAATAGAAGCTATGACAACGAAATTTGATATTGAAAAATTCAATGAGAGAAATTTCTCATTGTGGAAATTGAAGATGAAGGCCATCCTAAGGAAAGACGGTTGTCTAGCAGTTATCAGTGAAAGGCCGATGGATTTCACAGATGACAACAAATGGATCGAAATAGACGAGAATGCTATGAAAAACTTTCATCTAGCATTAGCAGATGAAGTATTGTCAAGCATCGAGGAGAAGAAGGCAGCTAAGGAGATATGAGATCATCTCACCAAATTGTACGAGGCTATATCGTTGCACAATAAAATTTTCCTTAAGAGAAAATTGTACACTCTCCAGATGCCAGAATCTACTTCAGTGACGGAGCACTTAAACACGTTGAACACTTTATTTTCTCATCTTACATCCTTAAGATGTACAATAGGAGAACAAGAATGGGTTGAACTTATACTTCAAAGTCTACCTGATTCGTATGATCAACTCATCATCAACTTGACAAACAATAATGTCACAAGTCTAGTCTTCGATGACGTTACAACTGCTGTTCTACATGAAGAAAATCAGTGCAAGAACTAGGAAGACAGACAAGTAAATTTGCAACAAGCAGAAGCGTTGACAATGATGAGAGGGAGATCAACGGAACGTGGCCAAAGCAGCAGTCACAAACATGGTAGATCGAAGTCGAGAAGCAAGAAGAATTTAAAGTGCTACAACTGTGAAAGAAGAGTCACTTGAAGAAGGATTGTTGGAGTCTAAATAAAAACTCCAATCCACAAGACAATACCGCAAACACTTTAGATGATGGAGATGTTCTATGTTGTGAAGCGCCAACCACCGTGGAAGGCAAAAAAAGATTTGTAGATATATGACTCATTGATTCGGGAGCAACATATCACATGACCTCAAGAAGAGAATGGTTCTATCATTATGAACCTGTCTCAGGAGGATCTGTGTATAGTTACAATGATCATGCCTTAGAGATCATTGGCGTTGGAACCATCAAATTGAATATGTATGATGAAACAATTAATATTGTTCGAGATGTGCGGCACGTGAAAGGCCTGAAGAAAAATTTATTATCCCACGGATTGATGGATAATAAAGCAAGCAAGATTGAAACACAAAAAGGAATCATGAAGGTGTTCCGTGGAGCGCTTGTGGTGATGAAAGGCGAAAATATAGCAGCAAACTTGTACATATTGAAAAGAGAGACTTTGCTAGAAGCAGAAGCCTCTGTTGCCTCATGTAGTTCAGATTCTGCAATGCTATGATATCAGAAACTTAGACACATGTCAGAACAATGAATGAAAGTCCATGTGGAGCAAAAGCTACTTCCAGGCTTAACGAATATATCACTTACTTTGTGTGAGCATTGCATAACAAGTAAACAACACCGGTTGAAATTCAACACGTCAAATTCTAGAGGCAAAAGTGTTCTAGAATTGGTTCACTCTGACGTATGGCAAGCACCAGTTATATCCCTAGGCGGAGCAAAATACTTTGTCTTATTTATTGATAACTACTCCAGGAGATGTTGGGTGTACCCTATTAAGAATAAGTCAGATGTGTTTTCAACTTTCAAAAACTTCAAAGCATGGGTGAAACTTGATTATAGAAATAAGATCAAGTGTTTCAGAACAAATAATAGAGGAGAATACACAAGTGAAAAATTTGATGACTTTTGTAGGAAAGAATGCATCAAAAGACAGTTCACAGTGGCAAACACTCCTCAACAAAATGGAGTGGCAGAGCGGATGAATAGAACCTTGTTAGAAAGAACAAGAGCAATGTTGAGGGATGCATGCCTAGAAAAATCATTTTGGGCAGAAACAGTTAATACCGCCTGTTATTTGGTGAATCAAGCTCCATCAACTATAATAGAACTGAAGACACCAATGGAGATGTGGACTGGTAAACCAGTTGATTATTCAAACCTCCATGTATTTGGAAGTATTGTGTACATGATGTACAACTCCCAAGAAATTTCAAAGTTGGATCCAAAATCCAGGAAATGTAAATTCTTGGGATATGATGATGGAGTAAAGAGGTATCGCTTGTGGGATCCCACTGCCCAAAAAGTGATCATTAGCAGGGATGTTATCTTTGTAGAAGATAAGCTACAAAGAAAAGAAGAAGATGGTAGCACTGAAAAGTCAGAGACTACATAGATACATGTGGAAAAGAAGGTTGAACAAGGAGATTCTTCTAAAGCAAAACCAGTACATAATGAACAAGAACTAGAGAGTTCTGAAGCTCCAACAACTCGTCAATCAGATCGTGTGAGAATACGTCCCAATTGGTACTGAGATTATTTTATAGAAGGAAATATTGCATACTGCCTTTTAACAGAGGACGGAGAGCCATCAACATACCAGGAGGCAATAAACAACTCAGATGCCACTACCACAAGGAAGGAAGCCAATTGGTAACAAATGGGTCTTCAAAATCAAGCGAAATGGTGACGATCAAGTTGAGAGGTATCGTGCAAGAATGGTGGTCAAAGGATATGCTCAAAAAGAAGGTATTGATTTCAATGAAATCTTTTCTCCTGTGGTTTGACTAATAACCGTTCTAGTAGTCTTGGCAATGCGTGCTACATTTAACTTACATCTAGAGCAGCTAGATGTTAAAACAACTTTTCTTTATGGAAATCTTGAAGAAGAAATTTATATGCTCTAGCTTGAAGGTTTTGAAGAAAAAGAAAAGAAGAACTTGGTTTGCAGGTTGAATAAATCTTTGTACGGTCTAAAGCAGGCGCCAATGTGTTGGTATAAGAGATTTGATTCATTCATTATGTGCCTTGGATACAACAGACTTAATGCAGGCTCTTGTGCTTATTTCAAGAGGTTTGGTTATAACGATTTTGTTATATTGCCGATGTATTTGGATGACATGTTGGTTGCAGGACCCAACAAAGATCATATTGAAGAATTGAAGGCAAAATTGGCTAGGGAATTTGAAATGAAGGACTTGGGATCAACAAACATTATTCTAGGGATGCAAATCACTGAGACAAAAGTAATAGGAAGATTTGGCTTTCACAAAAGAATTACTTGAGGAAGATCCAATTTATACCCCTCTTCCTATTAACTTCAAGTTATCATCCAGTATGAGTCCTATCAGTGAAGAAGAGAGGATGGAGATGTCTCGAGTACCGTATGCATCGGCAGTGAGAAGTTTAATGTTCACTATTATATGCACAAGACCAGACATTGCATAAGCAGTGGAGTGGTTAGTCGGTACATAGCAAATCCAGACAAAGAGCATTGGAATACTGTAAAGAGGATCCTTGTTGCAATTTTCGGAAGCTCGATTCGACAACCGAAACGGTTTGCAAAGAGGGGTCGGAACGGTTTTTGAGTTTAGGGAGTAAGGAGATTGAAAGATAGAAAATTGCACAGTGATTTAGAGTGGTTCAACTTTCTAAACCAAAGTCAACGTCCACTACCTTAGCTCCTCACCAAGGATTTTCCAACAAATTCACTAATTTGTTCTTTCTTTCGAGGACAAAGAGATAATCTTACAACTCCCTAGTTTTTCTTGGCTAAACTAGAACCTTTCCCTAGCTTTTACACGGGATAAGCTAGAACATTTCCCCTTTACAAAAAGATAAAATAAGTAAACAAGAAAACCTCTCTAAGGTAGGTGTTTACAAGTTGAGCTCACAAGAACAAAATATTTACAAGAGAATGATAAAATAAGATTGAAAAACTATTCTCTTGTGTTTGATTGCTTGGATAGTTGTTATCTTGCTTCTTCAAGTGTCCTTAGCTTGTATTTATAGCTTGGAATGTGTTTTATGTTGTATATAGCCGTTGGGCATGTTTTGGAGCCGTTTGGGGATGATTTTTCTACTCAAAAAAGCTGCCCATAACATGGTGCATCGGTGCACTATCATGGTGCATCGATACCCCTTCATTAAATTCAAATAAACTAGTCGTTGCAGCCTTCGTGCATGGATGCACAACATGAGGCATCGATGCACTAATTGCATTCGGTGTTTGAGTGCATGGATGCACTGCATGATGCATCGATGCACTAGTACAGGTGCATGGATGCACTGCAGGGATGCATGGATGCACTTTGACACCCTTTAGCATTTTGGCTCAAATCCGAATTTAATGGACTTTGAATTATTTTTGAAACCTTTTAAAACTTTGAATAAATTCAAATAAGTCCAAAAACATTTTGTAAATTCAATTCAAGTCCAAAAACCATTTTGCCTTAAATTTGTTATATCGAAACATAATTCAACAATCTCCCCCTTTTTGATATAACAAAACATTTGAAAAATTGTTTTTGGCAAAACTCCCCCTTAATAAAATGTTTAATGAAAAAGATATCAATTGTT